GTGCCGGTCGTTAAAGTTTTAGTTGCTGGGCAGCTCACTCATGTAAGTCAGACATCCATACGTCAAAGAGATACTACTTAAGCTAGAATCCCTCATAGATAAAAGACAATACATCATCATCAGAATTATAATTTTTGCTATCAAAAAGAGCAGTTGACTTTAGATAACTATATTCCTAGCGCCTGGCTTTCAAACCGTATCCCATATGTATCCGAATCCCATTACATGCCCAATTGCGTTTCAAACCGTCGTCAAGGAAACCAACCATTTAGTCTAACGTTACAGCTTAGCTACTGGTGTTTCTATAATCCGATCTTCTAGCCCTGTCTTCCGAAGCACCCTTTGTCGAATATCCTCTTCTGAAACACCACTCAACTGGTCAAACCTCAATGGCATCTCTTCGCATGTTTTTGCCCTTATCATGACAGCACTCGACTCAATACTGTCGGGGTCTTCCACTGCGGCACGTATGAATGATGCCCAGCCGCTGTAGCATCGTGGCGTTGCAGGAGCGTTACGCAGCATCATAGCGAAGCAGTGCGGCATACCTTCGTACTCCTCGAACACCACTCGCACACCATCAGCCTCAAGTTTGCGAGCAAGAAACTTGTCCTCGTATGCGAGGATCTCCCATCCCGTGCAAAGGTAGATAGGCGGCGCCCCTTTCCAGCTGCGTGCCATGACGAGAGATGCAAGAGGGTGAGCAGCGAGGTCGTCTGCGACGTACATGTTGCGTCGTGGTGGGTTAGCTGGCCAGGCCTCACACGGAGGGACTGTGCGCTTCTCGATGGCCTCCGGCTTGGGAAGATAATCACATGGCGTTGGTGTTGACATCTCCCATGTTGGGGAGCTTTGTGTAATGTCAAGCCACGGGGAGTTGAGTGCTACGCCAGCTGGCATGGGAACCTGACGCAGCTCGCCGTGCCACAGAATTGGAGAGTCTTGTCTGCGGAGCTCGAGGATGAGTTGGAGTAACGACAGTGAAAGATTGCCGCCAGCGCTATAGCCTCCTGTGTTAGTTCTTGTGGTACACGACCCAGACTCGAGACGTACCTGTCACCAGCAATCACAATATGCTCCGGTTGTACAGGATCATGATAAGCATCGGGAGGCGGATATAGAAGCGTCAAGTAAGACACAAAAGCGTCAAGCAGCGCCGCAGGGAATGGATGCTGCGGCGCAAGTCGATAGCGCACCGAGTAACACCGACCCCCCGTCAACTGCGCCAGCTTTTTCGTCGTAGGACGATGTGTTGCTGGGTCACAGAGATAGTAAGCGCCGCCGTGCAAGTACAGGACTGTTGTTGGCTCCTTGCACTCTTGCATCATGCCGTGATACCTCTCCCGCTCCGACACGTCAGGCAACGGAGCGCCACGGGCTACACCGCTCCGGTAGCCGGTCCACTCGGCCTCGACATCAACGAGATCGGGAACGGGGACTCGGCAGGTGGAGCCCCCGAGGTGTTCGAGTGTGCTGATGAGGGCATCGCGGACTGATGTCTCTGGGGGTTGTGGACTGGCATATTTGCTAACCCAGATGTGCCCCTTTACACCAGAGTCACGGAGTGTAAGTCGTTGGACAGATGAGACACTACGGGGGGCTTTTGGGGTGAGAATAACGCGAAGACAGGCGATGATGATGGCGCTTCGCAGGTCGAGGTATTTGGATGAGTCGGAAAGGTTGAGGAGGTGTGCTAGGCCCTGGCGGACGATGAGAGGGAGTAATGGAACAACTGTCCGTACAGTCTCCAGAGTTGCTGAGTCCATAGTGGTATGAATGTCAAGATTATGTCAAGTCGAGGATTGTCGCTGAAGTTATAGTTGTTGATGCGAGTGGAATGAAAGTGATTTCAAGGCAAAGACGAATAGTTCAAAACAATAGATGGGCATGGGACAGGTCGAGGCCGACTTGATATAATCAGAACAACAGAGATTTGCCTGATTGAGACCCAAGTCATAAAGGTACGGGTAATGGGTCAGAGGGAGGGGTAGCAGGACAGAAGACCAGCTGAGGCAGTTCAAGAGTTGTCGTACAGCGGCCTCTAACTAGACAAAGAGTTAGGAACCCCTAGGATCCAATTTCAATGATCTCCCTCGAACAGAGTCCAATCAGGGGCTGCCTCTTCTGTTTGGAATCGCGTCAAAGTCCTTGTCCGGAATGGCGGTCTTGGAGATCCATGACACTTTGTTGCTTTGCCACTTGTAAGTGTAAGTGGGCTTTTAGGTGTGGTTACCTAGGGCCAGCGTGAACTGTCTGGCAGCTGAAAGGTCGATAGTTAGGTCGTGACAAGTTGTTCCTTTTCGCTTTTCACATTTCACTTTCCACAGTCTAATCACAGAGAAATCATAGTGCGTGATCAGTTGAGGTGATGCGTTGGTTCAACAAAAATGAGCCTCGGCACGCGGAATTAGTTCACAACCAACCTTCAAGTGACGTCTACATGGAGTTGCAACTAGCGCTTCAGACATGAATCAGATCCCTCGGCATCAGAACCAGAGTTATATTGCGGGGATTGGCTAGTAAACTTGACAAGACGAACTCTTACCTACTCCGTATTATGCCTTCATTTACTCGACTGGGTAAGGTAGTTACTTTGAGATGAAAGCCTTCAACGGTCAATGCGTCGGTCGAGTGTGGGTTATGAGACTTGTAGGCTCATCAAGCCTAAAGTGGTAATTCTTGCGGAAAAGCGTCAAGGTTGAGTGCATGCGCGATAGCAAGGGGATGCATGTAAGCGCACGCGAGGTGGGAAGAAGCAAACAACTAGGCGCGGAACTTAAAACAATATTGGTATTGGATCTTGCAGGCTTTTCTGTCCAAATCAGGCATCTTGCATATCACAACATCTTCATAACATCTGTCAGGGTTCGGAGTATTTTTGCTGGATTTGAAGAACTATTACGACTTGCATTTTCATTATCAAAGGATCATGCTTGGCCTACCACATCTACAACAGACGAATAGCCTTAGGACTTTGTCAATTAGGCTCCAATAAGTAATGTGGTAAAATTGACAATGGTGATATAACGCTACAATACCAAACCATCCCGCCACGTAAACACCTCCATTCAGCAGACCCGATTATTACAAAACTATGGATGCATAAATATTGTACAATTATGGTCAAGTACACTCTTCACTGTTTCAAGAGCTGGAACTGGCACCAGCCTTTGGCTCGTCGGCCTTGACCTGAGTCGACGAGGTATCATTCTGGTTAGCCATGGCCATCTGCCAAGCAGGGATAGACTTCTTGCCGGTCATGTTGGCGAGAGGGGAGGATGAACGGTTAAGTTGAGGAGCAGAGGGGAATGTGGGCTTGGGAACCTCTGCAGCAGGAGTGGTGGTAGCCGATTCAACTGTGGCCTTCTCTCCGTTGGTCTTAGCAGCGGGAGTCGAGGTAGAGGCAGCAGGAGTAGCTACGCTGGAGCTTCCACTGGCACCGACAGTTCCGGCTGTGCCTCGCATATAGGTGTTCATGGTTGAAGAACCGGTGCTACTGCTGGGGGCGGTCATGCGCTGAGATACCAATGTCTTGAGACTGGTGAGCTCGGTGTTGATCTCCTTCAGCCGGTTATCAGTCAGGCCCTTCTGGTTCTCGAGAGCCTTGGGAATCGCGTCCTTGAGAGACTGAACCTCGTCACGAATTCGGGTCGCATCGTCCTCCCGACGACGATTCGCAGCCTTGAGGTCGGTCATAACTGTCTCGAGGTCCGCGATCGCTGCGTCCAGCTTTTCGGTTCGCTCCTTTTCGGCATTCTTCAGACTCTCCGTATCCTTCGCAAGCTGCTCAACAAGCGTGAAAGCTCGGTCAAATTGGTCCTCGATCGATTTCTTATCTTGTTCCAATTTCTCCGGTGTCGGAGGCGCGACCATTGGGTATACGTAGCGCTGATCGCACGTTAGCTTGCATCATCAAAATCGCTACAATGACAAGCACGAACCTTGCCTAACTCATAGAGGCCATAAGAGACGCCTCCAACGACTGTGGCCATGATGAACCAGTCTCTCCAGTCCCTACGGGGAGGAGGTGGCGGTGGTTGCCAGGCATGCTGTGGATAGGGGGGATAGTATTGTTGACCAGGAGGAGGGCCGGCGGGAGCGCTGGGATAAGGCGCGTTGGGAGCTGGAGGTGCGCTGCCACCTGTTCGTGCCAGCGCGACATCAATTTCTTCTTGGGTCAGGTTCTTGCTTCGAAGGAATGAGATGCGGTTCTCGACGGAGGATGACGCGACACTTGGGTCCTGGAGAACTGCCATGGGTTAGTCGGCGCATTTATAATGGCTGAATCGGAGTCAATACTGACATTGGGTCTATTCAGGAGTTAGCATCTACTGGGTTCTATTCCAATAGCTTTGGTGGCTGGGGAAGTAGGGCAACTTACTGCAGAGGATACGAGATCCTCGCGAATAGCCATGATTGATGTTTAGCCGTCAGACGGCTCTCACCACATAACCTGAGTCGCAATGGGAAGAAGTTGTAGAAGTAACTCCTGAAAAGACTTGAGCGATGATGATGGAAGCGTTAAATGCATGTGGTAGTTCAGCTTGCGGAGGTCAGACCGTGGAGTTCAAGAACGTGGAGGCGTGGAGTCGGAAGCGTGACCGGTCTGTACCGAGGCTTCTCCCAATTGACCTGCCGAGATACGTACCGCAAACGGTTCCCGTCAGGTTGAGGCTGCAGATGCGATCACGTGTAATCTCAATTGAATATCCACCTTTGCCAACTCAACCGCTACTCCACCAGAGACAACACAGAAATTATCGACCAATCAGGCTGAGCTGATGGTTTGTTTACTTTCCTCCCGAGCAACACTCTGCAACGCCTAATCTCCCCTACCCTACTCTCTTTACCTGACTTTACGCCATTCTGCATTTTCACATCCCACTTTACATCAACACCATTAATCACGACGACCCCTCCGCGTATACAACAACTCACGATAGTCGCCTGCTTTGCGCAAGCATCTCATTGCAGTCGCGTGTTTCCCCTTTTACTAGATCATGTCCCAAGATACGGGCCTTTGGAGCGTCCGTAGACCTAGAGAGGTAAGAATACCGAATATCTTCTACCAGCTTTTGCGCCCAACTGGTAGACCGCCATTCCCGCGCATCGGCCTGAGCAATGTTGATTCTAACCTGCAACATAGACCCTTGGTGGTATTAATGCAAACAGCGCCATTCCGCAGCCTGGTTCGACTATGAAGCGATCCAGCTCCAATATTGGCGGCAATTACCCTGGCAGTCATGTCCGTTCCATGTCGGGATCTAGGCAATCCCTTGCCATGCCGCGACCTAACCAGCCTCTGTTCCAACGCTCGTCATCCGGAACTAATCTTGCCGACCTTGGCCTTTCGTCGGTGAAGCGCTCTTCATTTGCTCCTAAAGCCTCGGCCTTCACACCAAACCCAACAACACGAGCTTCTACTGATGGCGATCGACGCAGCAGCGTGTACCGACCTCGTCAATCAACCGCTCCTCCAACGACTCACCAGAGTTTCTTTCAAACTACACCAGCCCCAGCTGGTGTACCCCGCGACCCGCGACCCCTGAAAGATCGATCTTTTCAAGCTCGTATTGGACAAGAAATATTGGAATACATGGTTCAACACAACTTCGAAATGGAGATGAAGCATGTTCTTTCGCAAAATGTGCTCAAATCGCCGACGCAGAAGGATTTCAACTACATGTTCCAGTGGCTCTATCATCGTATAGACCCCAGCCATAAGTTCCAGAAGAATATCGACCAGGAAGTGCCTCCCCTACTCAAACAAATGCGATACCCCTTCGAAAGAAGTATCACAAAGAGTCAGATTGCTGCCGTCGGAGGACAGAACTGGAGTACATTCCTTGGCCTTCTTCACTGGATGATGCAACTGGCACAAATGCTCGATGGCTACGTAAACTGCCAATACGATGAGGCTTGTATGGAGAGCGGCATTGACGTTAGTGGCGACCGCATCATCTTTGACTTCCTCAGCAATGGTTACCGGGATTGGTTGGCTATGGACGAAGATATGGGCGATGAGGAGGCTGAACGCGTTTTGGCCCCTCATGTTCAATCCATGGCAGCCGCCTTTGAGCGATCAAACTCCAAATACACATCAGAACTCGAAATGCTTGAAGCTGAAAACGCACGACTTCTCAAGGAAATCGAGGATTTGGAAAAGTCGACACCCGACCCTGCGGTTCTCGATAACCACTTCAAGATCATGGAGGAGGATAAGATCAAGTTTGAAGAGTATAATGCCCTGGCGATGCAAAGGTCCGAGAAGTACGAGAGCCGGTCTCAAGTCCTTCAAGAAGAGCTTGACAAACTCATGGAAGAGCTTCAAGAGGCCGACGAGGAGCGACGAAGCCTACAAAAAGCTGTGGATGCCCAAGGAATCAGCATGCAGGATATTGACCGCATGACTGCAGAGCGGGAGCGACTGCAGCGCGGCATTGAGTCGGCTGGCCAACGACTGGAGGAAGTAAAGAAGAAGGTGACGGAGCGAGAGACCGAGGCGAGCCGAAAACTAGATGAATTGGAGCAAATGGTGGATCGATACAACACAATGGCGTATCAGATTGCACTGATCCCTTCGACGGCAGCCAACGCCAAGGGCAGGGAGTTTGAGCTCCAGGTCATGGTGGCCGATAGCTCGGATTACACTTCTACCAACTTGAAGGGATCATCAGGCCCATCATCTGCAGATCGTCTCCTTGTTGACGCCACCACTGGATACCAAGCAGGTCATATTCTCAACTTGGACCTTCGGGGACAGATCCGAAACAGCTTCCTATCGCTGCGCAAGGAAATCTCAGATCGCCGAGCAACGGCAATGGAAGAAATGATGAAGGATCACGATCTGCTTGATGGCATAAAGGAGGCCATCGAGGACAGGCGCAGTGAAGTGGAGGCACTGAATCACCGTGTTCGAGCAGCAGAAGAGGAGTATGAAAGAACGAAAGAGGTGTCGACAGCACAGAAGATGGCCTCTGACGCACATATTGAGAAGATGGAGAAGGAACTGTCGCGTATGCGGGCTGGCTTGTCTGAAAACGTGCAAATTCTGGAGCAGCGTGAGATCAACACAACAATTGAGTAAGTGGACACGCACTTTTGATTAGAGTAACAAGTACTGACGGGGCAAACAGATACGAACAACTTGTGCTTCAGGCCAACGCTCTCCGAGAAGAGCTTCACACCGAGATTGACAGAATGCTCAACGATGTCATCAAGTTCAAAATCCATGTCCAAAAGAACCTTGACGACTACGAGGGCTTTGTAGCAGACGAACTCGAGAAGGAGCTCGGTAGTGACGAGATGGGCGAGGAGACTCGACAGATGGATATGTGATGAGAGCTACGCATGAAGCAATCTTCTGAGACGCTTATGATGACGATTAATGTTTCGGGCGGCCTTCTGGTTTGTTTTATGGCGTTTGGCTTTATGACTGGTCGACTGATGGATGAGTGAGAGCAGTTGGACACAATCTCGTCTGACTGGTCCCTGTCTCAAGTATACATGCTCCCTTTCTAGTGGGCATGCCTTTGACGAGCGTGAGTTTGAGCATTATGACACGTTAGTAATGGTAGATACCTGGTGGTTTGCTTTGGTGTTTTTAGGAAAGATACCACGAGGCTGTCTGATATAGTTGGCCTTGATTACGAAAATTCTAGTTACGGAAAAAAGCACAACGGCGTTGTTTCTCAATTATTAAGGTTGCAATAGTATGTAATGATAAGCTGACGACAACGTGCGTAGCATGGCAAGCATGGGCACCACATGGAGGCGACAAGGATGGTCAGCACCTTGTCAGGGGGTTCCCGAAGATGTTAGCAGGGGTAGCTAGCTCCATGACTGCAATGATGAATGATTCGTGGGCAGAAGAGACTCTCTTCTCTGTAGGGTCGTATTATATATATCTCATGAGCTGTGGTATTGGAGGGAACAATACGGAGTACGAAGTACAGTCCGTGGACAAGAAGCTCGCTAGAACAAGACCAGGATACAATAGAAGTCTTTTCTGTTGCATTCGGATTTCGTTTATTCCCCGGATGCCTTCGGAAGATCCTCTTAATTGCCCCGGTCGGGGAGTCGGGGGGTTGTAATTTGCGAGCGGGAAAGTGATGCAAACTCCGCCAAGGCCCTGTAGGGCATTTATTGGGCTGGGGCTGGAGTTATGTATGAATGCAAAAGTGAGGCATATGATGAAGCTAAAGAGCTTGTGATTGATCTGTTTCAGACTACAGATTACCTTAGATGAGAGCACCTAGTATGGGCTGTTGAGTATCGCTTAGGTAGACCACTCATGTGAACATCATATTCGTGTCTCAGCTGCATAACTGCCCAACAAGTCACAACATTCAGTGTTAACTCCGCCAAGTTTTATCCCCGTTGTACCCATTGCACCCATCTAATGGCCCCTAGTGCTAATCTCGGCAAGTTAGTTCTCGGTAGCTTCCATGATGCTTCCATTGTTGGTCCTGAGGAATGTACTTGCCTAGACTCCAAAGGTCATAGCTCCTTCACCCATTCTCTCTCAGTGTCTCTCTCTCTTTTGTCTCTGCCTCTGCCTCTTCTTCTGCCGTGTCTCTCCATATTTTTACCTGACATCTACATCTCCACCTCCTCATCTTCTCTCTTCTCTCCCTTCTCTTTCTCATCTCTCTTGGTCTCCCTTTCATCAATGGATGCCAAATAATCTTGCCTGGTTGCCCTGGTCCAATCATCCCTACCTCGTGCAACTGCAACTCTGCTAAAGTCCGAAGCCTCCGGTTTGGGACATTGCTACCACATGCCGCGTACTTCTTTGACGATCCGTCAACTGAGTTATCATTTTGGATCAACGAAAAATACTAAACCCTTGGCTTTTGCTTCCGCATACTCAACTCTTTCCTCAGCATCCTCTACTATCATGGCTCCAGCCGCAACTGCTGCTTCGGCTCAATTGAAGCCTCCGGAGCTGGCTACAAGGAATGCACCTGGCTCATCTGGAGGATCTATCGCCTCCAGCACTGCCGTATCCAAAATACCTGGTCGATCAGCTCTTCCAGATGAAGCTGTTTCCAACCCTCACCATCTCCTCAAGCGTGGCTCTCTAGTGGGCTTCAAGAATCCTTATCCTTCACATTCATACACTCCCAACTTCGGTACCATGGTTCGAAGAGTCTGGTGGTAAGTGAGGACTTTGTCATGTCAAGAGCGCTTCGTCGTCCAGAAACTGATGGTATGGTTTTAGGCCCACTTTCACCGGCGACATGAAGCAACCCGATTTGACTCCCCCAACTGTACCAGTGGTAAAGCCACAATGGAATACCGAGCGCGAAACAAGCGATAGGATCCGCGCAACATGGCTAGGCCACGCTTGCTACTATGTCGAATTCCCTTCTGGCCTGCGCGTTCTCTTCGACCCTGTCTTCGAGGACCGATGCTCTCCATTCAACTTCATGGGACCAAAGCGATATACGCCCAAGCCATGTGATATCAAAGACATTCCAATCATCGACGCTGTTTGCATTAGCCATTCCCATTACGACCACCTTTCACATTCTTCCATTCTCGAGGTCCAGAAATATCATCCAGACGCACAATTCTTCGTTGGTCTGGGTCTGGAGACATGGTTCCGCAAGTCTGGCATCAACCACGTTACTGAGCTCGATTGGTGGGAAGATGCCGACCTCACTGTCACAGTCAAAGATGGAGACAGTCCCCGCGAGATCAGCGCCAGGATAATGGCTTTGCCGTGTCAGCACGGTTCGGCGCGGACCATGTGGGATCGTGACACTACCCTATGGTGCTCGTGGGGTGTTCGATCTAGCGACAAGTCAGTTTGGTTTGGTGGCGACACGGGCTACCGATCGGTCCCAAGTCTCCCTCCTGGAACCGATGACTACAGTGCTGAATATGATCATCTTCCGAGATGCCCCCAGTTCAAACAGATTGGCGAATTCCGGGGACCTTTTGATCTTGGCTTGATTCCAATTGGTGCCTACCATCCGCGTGTGGCATTTTCGCCGGTGCATGCGGATCCGGCTGACGCCGTTGAGATCTTCCGCGATACACAATGCAAGCGTGCAATGGGAATTCATTGGGGCACGTGGGCGCTCACGTTGGAGGAAGTTCTGGAACCACCTAAGATGCTGAAGACGGCTCTTCGAAAGAGAGGTCTACCCGAGGTGGGTGTATTTGATGTTTGCGATATTGGTGAAGCTCGGGAATTCTAGCTTGGATGTAAAAAAGACCATGGAGTCTGGAGAAGCGAGACATGTTTGCAGATGTAAATACCCTGATTTGTTTTAAGGCCCAGTCAGGACTGATGGCATCCACCGCAGCAGGATGAGAGGTACACTGCGTGATTTTGTATAACCTTCATTCAGCTCTCAAGACTGGGGCTTTGTAGAAGTTTACAAATGAATGTCCACTTCTTGTAAGCTCTTTAAGAATGAGAAATATCAACCACCCGAAATGATGTCACAGTAAGACCCTGATCGACAATGGCCCGAGTTCGCAATGGATGTCCAATCAAAGCTTTACTCTGACAACGATAAACTGTCAACCAGCCTAGACCAGCTCCTCCTGGCTTGTCACAACGGGTCAAAACGGAGCTCAACAATGAGCCTAGAATTAACCCTCACTTCTTTCTCATCTGAGAAGTCATCCCTTGCTGCTGGTTCCACAGTAGCTTGAGCCACAGGTGACGTACCTCACTCGCCACACTAGTACCTATTGCCACATCAAGTATAAGAGACTCATTCAGACTTAGGTATTCATCGTGACAACTACAAATCTTATCAAAAGCTTCAAAAGACACAATCTTTACACATTCCGATCCTTCTTTTCTCTTCTGACCTACCACACAACACACCGCCTTCACAATCAAACATCATGGGCCTCCCCGCTTTCTCAGAGCCAGCAACAACTACTTGTCCTCAGACCCCGCAACAAGAGCAGAATCACAGCACTGGCGTTCCTACCGGTGCCGGCGCAAACACTGGTGCAGGCGTGACAAGGCCCAAGACTGAAGAAGAGAAGGAAGCCGATCGGCTTTATGAGGAGGCCATGGAGGAGGAGTATGCTAAGCGTGATGGAGGTGCCTAAGCATGGAACAACTCGAGCATGACTCGAAGTGCAGATTTACGACCTGAAGTCACTTGACGAGAAATGATAACTAGAAGGATGATAGTCTCAACTCTGAACTGAATTAAATAATACAAGTTTCGATATAACTCTAAGGTTCGCCTGATACGTGATCTATGTGTTCTGAGTGGATGATATGTGTTGGCAGTGACGTCTATGAACAAATTTATAATGACAGGAGGCCTAGAACTGGCTCAAAGCTTCGGTGCACGAACACCATAAAGCTAGATTGATTGATGTGTATATACAGAAAGTTAGGGTGAGCGAGGCTATATGATAGATCATGTTACCACTGTTCTATTGTACATTTATCTTATGGCGACCTCGTTTATATGCCAACTTTCGTGATCATGGGTTCCGGAGGAGCTGTCTATTGGCGCTGGCTGTGTTATGGGACTCAAATACCCGGGGTAAACCTAAGCAGAATCGAGATATACTCGTTCCATCAATCAGATGGCTCAACGCCATCTCAGATTGTTTACCTAGCTGGTGTTCGTTGTCTGATCTCTTGAGCAGATGCTCATAATCACCCTGGAGTTGTCACACTCCCATGGTCAAAGTATATTCTCCAGCCCAGAGATTTCTATGCTGCCATTGATGACTCTATGTCCGGATAGACTATTCAGCTCTTCTGGGCAGGAGACAACCATGAGCAATCCAGGAGTCGATATTCCTTCCTGGCGTGGTATTGAACTGCAGTTCCTTGGCATTATGCAGAGTATAGTGTGGTGCCGAACCTAGTCAGCCTCGGGGTTCGGGAATCAGGAACTTGGACGACAAAAATGCTAAGCAGAGCAGAGTAAAATGGTTCAATCATTCTCTCGCAGTCTTGCCAATGCAGCAGCAATACCGCCACTAAGTTGCTCGTCCTTATCTGCCTGGCTCGCACGAGTGGCCTCTTCTGTCTGTGCAGTCTTCCTCGAAGCCTCGATAGCAGCGGCAAGCATGGCCTCTTCATCGTCTTCATCATCAGTGTTGTCCATGAACTGGAATTGCTTCGATGCGGGCTCATTTGTCTTCTCCGCAGAAGGTGTATCTTTGGTGGGAGATTGTCGCGAAGATGATGCAGCGGTTGGCATATCCCGTAGAGGAACCCGCGAAAGAGGTAGAGCCTGGTCAAGTCTTGCTGATCGTTCCGAGGCCTTTGCGCCTCTCCTGGCAGCCTTTTTTACTCTGAATGGCTCTTCGACTGCAGACTGCCACCTCTTGACCTTGACACCTCCCCATCCATTTAGCATGCCGAGTTGTTCTGCATCAGCATTGATTGCATTTTTCAAACTGCCGAAATTGCTCACTACGGCGACCGCATCTGATTTATTCAGGCTTCTCGGCACTGTGACGAACTCTACCAGCTTCTCACCGTAGCTGGACGGTTGTTGGCCACGGATCGCGCCAAATGTAGCATTCTCGTAGCTCTTGTATAACTCGATATACCGTGCGGCTTCAGCAGCGGACCAGCACAAAATAAGGGTGACATTGTTGACGAGTGATGTCTTTGATAGTTCCTTCAGGGAGGCTTCGTGGTTGGGAATGTCGACCATGGTGAGGAGTATGCGCAGGTTGTATTTGCCTTGAAGGTTCCGTATTCGTGTATAGATGTATTCGGGATGCAGACGATGGTACTTGAGACTAAAAAGGGTCATTATCGAGATCACAGATGTACAAACAGATGCACAGAGCTACCTCAGGAACAGAGCGCAAGTACCCAATCCCAGGACATAGTCGGCAGGGATATCGCTGTACTCCCATGGCATAGATCGAATGCTTGTGAGAACAGGATTTCCTCGCTGGCGCGGAGATACCAGGATAGTCGAGCCAGATTGCTTCTGAGGTAGAGCCTGTGGTGTTGGCTGAACGACCTTCCCCACGCTGGAGGCTGCGGGGGGTGCTTTGTCTAGACGTTGTGGTGTAGGTTGTTGGATTCTTGTAGGCGTGGGTTGTTGAACTGGTCGTGCAGCAGGCGTGGGATCAGCTGCGGCCATAGCGGCCAGGAGCTCGTCGTCTGCACCGTAGTCGTCGTCCATGATGAACTGTTGAAGCTGCGTGGTGTAACTGGTCGGTCACGTTGCTAGCTTCTTGTTATGTGCTTGTTGAAAGATGATGGTAGTTCACGCATCGCGTAAGTCGAGTTGAGCAAGGGTGGGTCGTCCCTGTTAATAGGTAGGTAGGTACATCCATGTACCTACCTACTAAGATAACAAACATTATTCTCCTATAGATTCTATGTCTCTTGTTCTCTATCTTTTGCGCCTCAGTATGCTGAATTGTTACAGAGTTGTTACTGATTAATTCCATCAATGTCTTCCTAGAATGAGGATGCTAAGGCCTTTCTCTTTTGCAGTGTCAAAGTGCATCTACGTCATTTAATCAAATCACACAGCCGTTGATAAAGTTTACTAACTCAGCATAACCTAGTATAACTAAACCAATTCTGAACAGAATGGCCCTGTACTATATTTGAGGCTACTATGAATAGACTAATTACCACTACCATCGAGGTATCGATACCTGTCAGCCCTGGGAATGTATCCGCGTACACCTGGAAGATCATTTACTCCTTTCAACAATGCGGTTCTCAATTCAGCATCGTCAACTCGCCACAATCAACTTGATAAGTTGATGCAACCCAAACGTCAAGACCATCATAATCTATTTTTAAACCTCGGCTCCTGGTTCCTGTTCTTAGCTTAATGATCTACACCCTTCAACGTGGCAGTGCTGATGGTCTTCAGTCACAACTCGCTCACATGCAATGATAAGCACCAAACTCATTGATCAAGGTAAATTCATAGTGCAGTAACTAAAAAACAAGTTCCTCCAGGTATCTCCCATCCAATCCTGTCCCATCTGCAGCTCCAGCCGCTTTTGCATTGTCCCGCCAAGTCCTATCCTATCCTATCCTATCCAATGCCAGGTTATTCCCTCTGGCCGCGCCTATAACGCCAGTAACCACAATGTTTCGTTATTTGCGTACATACACATGTCCTCGTGTACATCATGTCTGTCTCAAGTCTAATCCAAATCTTCTTCTAGTCCTGCATATTCTGTGGGACTGGGCAATGTGCTCTCTGTGAGGGAGGAATGGATCGAGTAAAGGGAGGCCAACCAGCAGTCGAACATGGTTGCCACTTTTTGTGCCTCCGCGTTTGATGATTGTTGTCGTGTTAGTTGATCGCGCAGTCTCTCGTAAGCCTCGATCATAACCCAGACCTGCAGTGCTGCAGTATCTTGTCCGTTTCGCTGTGGTCGGCCTGACACAACGGATGATAATTCGCTCGTGAGTAGATCGAGCGCTATTTGAAGGCTGATGTTTTCCTGGAATGAGTGCCCTGAGGATGAAGGTGGTCGAAATTCATCTGTCCAAGAACCTCGTGGTGTTCCGGGGGTCTGATCGGGAGATGGTGGTGGTGAGAAGGAATATGGCTTGAAGTAAATAGTGTCTCCTTCAACGGCAGCCACATTCGTATCGTGAGTCGCTGCTGACCTGAGCCTGGGTCTCAGCTGACGGGGTATAGCCGTCATGGATGAATACGTGTTTGAGGACCGCAAACTCTGTCGCTTGGCTCCGTGGGGTGATATCTGAAGAGGGGTATCGTCGAATGAATATGTCGATGCTCGTGATGGTAATTGTGAGTCCAGCGCTGGGGGACCATCTCTCGACTCAAGGACAGCGTTGTATTGGTCAGCGATCAATTCAACGCTCGATGTCTTCTCCGGCACATCCCTCGCCTTACGCGCAAGTGCATGTTGCTCTAGTTGTCCGATTCGAAAGACGGGTGTTTTGGCCTGGCGTCGCATGATAGAGGATGTCGAGGTAGTTGATGCGGTCGAAGGGAGAGAAGAGCTGTCCAATGACGGTCGCGCATGGTGATCCTGGAGAGTCAAATGGTGGAATTCTGGGATTTGGCGCTGAGAAGACTGTCTTCGTGGCGGAGGACTGAAGAATGCCCTCGGAGGCTCGGGTTCAGGCTCATGTTGGTACTGATGGTGCTGGTGCTGTTGATGTTGCTGTTGCTGAGGCGGTTCATGTGGTGAATTGATCTCGGGCTGAAGATGGTCCTCGGGCTCTGAAAACGAGGGCACAAAGACCGTCTTTGGTCGAAGATAATGATCCCACTTTGAATCGCTCAAATCGGGAGCGCCGTTCTGAATTTGTCGTTGCGACGGTGAAGACATAGTGCTCTGAGGGCTGAGGCTAGACATGGTCGAGTCGGTAGAACCGCGCTTAGCTTTGTTGAGGCTTTTGAGCTTCGGGTCAGGTTTTTGGAGTTTGCGCCTGGGGGGCTTCAAACTGTGACTTCTTGTGAGAGTGTTGTCCATGGCGGGCGGTGAACATAAATTGATGTTGAGAGCCGCGGTTTCAGGATGTAGCATTTGTGCTAACTAGTTGAAATGCAAGGTGAGTGATGAGCGTGGATCGTCGTCAAGGGCGCTTGGGTGAGAATTTGAGGTGAATTGAAACTCGTGTGTGTCTTGGTTGATATTGGTCACGTTGGTTGGTGAATTCTGGAGATTTCGCAGCCATGGAAGACAAACATGGGAGAGATATGTGAGGTATGTTATATGACGAAGTTATGTATGCGTAGGGAAAAGCAAATGCGAATCGTGCGAGCTGCAGCAGACAAGACAAGACAAGACAAGACGGGCAGAGAGAGTTCAGTCAGGGTAAGGTAATAAGGTAGGTACATAAGTCAAGTCAGCCAAGTCAAGTCAGTCGTAATTATGTACGTAGTAAAGCCGAGAGACACAGTCAAGGCCTTACCGCTTCCCTGGCCCAAAGTGGCTTCCAAGCTGCAGGTTAGAGTGGAAGTCCAATCAAGAGGACCACGAGGTGGATGAGATACTCCACGTCATGGGTCGAAGGGAAGAAAAAAAGGGTTGGGGATAGGCAGGGATGATCGAAAACTGGGATTCTGCAACCTGCAACCTGCATTTTTTCTGGCATCAACAGGAACAGAGCAGACTCCAACAGGCTTGACAGGGCTGGAGCTGGGCTACAGGCATTGGACGACCCGGCAAGATACAGTACTGTACATACATACAGCTGGTAGCCGAGACGAGGGTGTACTGTATCCTCTTAAAGGAAACTGATCCGCGGTACTTCAACTTGATCATTGTGGTCGTCTGCACCAAAACAAGATTCACCCTCTCGACTCTCGACTCTAACCCTTCCAGAATCTGACGAGAACAACCTCGGACCACCCAACCCGCCTCTGCAGCGGTGAAGCCCACACGCTGCAGCAACTGATAATCAGGACCCTTCCCCTTCCCTGTCTGGCCCTGTCACCCGACCCGACTAGAGAGACATTCTTGAGTGCGCTGTAGAAACGCCTTACAGCTGCCGCAACACCCTCACAGGCTCGGGCTTCGCACTAGGTTACTTCCTAGTGCCAAAACGGTTGTTATCCGTATGGCCCTGCCCCGTCGCGTGTGATTGAATCTAGCTTGAGCTGATGTCATGTCATGTGTGCCTCTATCGATCAAAGACCCTTACTGAGGTCTGAGCCCATTTACTCATTGAGAGGGGTAGAAGCAAAAAGACGTGTCTCTTGTCGATGGGCTGTTGTTCTGAAGCCATCCGGATCATCAGTTGTGGCAATGTCATGGTGAGTAAAATAAGTTCATGTACGCGAGTTAGATATGCATGAGGGTGCTGTGCTGTGCTGGCTGTGGTAGAAGCAAGCCGGCTGCCTCTCTTCGCACACTTTTCTTCTTCTTTTTGACAATAATTTGTTGTGAACGCAAATATTTCTCTTCGGTCTTGAATATCCTAATCGTCATAGATCAACAAGACACTGAGCGTTAGGGAGTAGAATAAGGCCGTCGGCGGTTCCTTTTATGAAGAACCTTTGTCTTTACAACAGAATAAACGAGGGGGGGGCTTCCTCAGAGGTGAAAGTCAAATAAATACTGTGCGTATATGATCGACGGACGGTGACGGATACTGTATGCAGTTAATTTACTCAGGTGGTTGGGAAAGTGAAATATATCTCGTGCACCTTGAAGAAACGGTCAAGACATGGCATGATATAAGAAGATTTCTAAAATCTCAAAAGCCCATATTCATCATTTTAAAGAAGCTTAATTATCCGTCGGATATTTTTAACGAGTTTGAGGAATTTAATCAATGAATAGCTACTTTACCTAGTTAAACTGACTTCCATGCTAACAGACTTTCTCTGTGCGCGTTGGATCCCATGTTAGTGAGGGGTACTCGGATCGGATCGCGGGGATACATCGTGGGGTCAAAACTCAACGTCGGATAATAATTTAAATGGAATTCTTTTGGCGAAGGGCACTAAAACTTCCATTGGCATAAACTTCAGTCACGAGGTTTATTTTCCCCTCAAGCCAGTCTCGCTTCCACTAGAAGGGATGGAGCACATTGAATGCCCGCCCGCCTTAGTACCCATAGCTTGGACGTGCTCTTTATAATGGATATTCTGCCTGCGGGGGGAAGACCGAGACCATTCATAGTTCATAGCAGCCCAGGTTAATTGCTGCGCGGGGGCGGGTCGCGGGGGTCTCCTGCTCTTAGGCCCTGAATCATGAGTACTTCTTACAACACCAGGACCTCACTGTAAATCAAGTCCTTTGTGATATCCTCTTAACATATGCTCCCCCCAAACCCACCCCCAAATCAACAACTCTCCTCTCTCCAAACCCAAGCATATTTATCGGCAAGAATATGCCGGCGGATGGCTTCTCATGATATACAAATTCGCTTTCATGGGGGTTTCCAGTGAGCGGATCCCGTTATTCCATCAATCAGACGCTGAGGAATTGGTCGTCATGGCATCTCGACTCTTCTGCTACCCCACATCGTGACAATGGATGAGGTCTCATGAGAGAGTCTGTGGGAGGAGGGGGAAAAAAGGGACCAGCAAAAGGGAGAAGCTATAAAGCTTGACGTTCCCAGCTTCAATCTCTATTTAGCCTCAATTGATTCATTATAATCTTGACGATTCTATATTTCTTCTTCCTCTTTCTCGTTGTGATCCTCTCATCATAACTCCTCGCGCACCATTGAAACCTCCCCCTCTCCCCGCGTTCGGAGCTCACCCCACCTCAAGTGTGTCCCTCATGCTTCACTGAGCTCTCTCATACTCGACAATTGCCTACAACTTCGAACAGATACACAAATAAACCGCAATCATGGGTGAAATCACAATTACAGGCTGGAAGACTCGCGATGTTCGCTTTCCTACTTCTCTCGACGGAACTGGCTCGGATGCCATGAACGCTGCTGGCAACTACTCCTCCGCCTACTGCATCCTCGAGACAGACTCTGAATACACCGGTCACGGAATGGTCAGTACTCAATTGCTCCAGAGGCCGTCTCAATTGTAGCTGACTTTGTATAGACCTTCACCATCGGCCGTGGAAACGACATCGTCTGCGCTGCCATCAACCACGTCGCCGAGCGTCTCAAGGGCAGGACACTCTCATCCCTCGTCGCAAACTGGGGCCAGACATGGCGACATCTCGTCAACGACAGTCAGCTCCGATGGATCGGTCCCGAGAAGGGTGTTATCCACCTCGCTCTCGGTGCCGTTGTCAACGCTGTCTGGGATCTCTGGGCCAAGACCCTCAACAAGCCCGTCTGGCGCATCGTCGCTGACATGAGCCCTGAGGAGTTCGTCAGCTGCATTGACTTCCGTTACATCACCGATGCTATCACCCCCGAGGAGGCTATCGCTATGCTTAAGGAGCAGGAGTCTACCAAGGCTAAGCGACTCGAAGAGGCTCTCAACAACCGCGCTGTGCCCGCTTACACAACGAGCGCTGGCTGGCTTGGATACGGGGAGGATAAGATGAAGAGTCTGCTTCAGGAGACACTCAACGCTGGTTACAGACACTTCAAGGTCAAGGTCGGTGGTGACATTGAGCGCGACCGCAAGCGTCTAGGCATTGCTCGTGAGGTCATTGGTTACGACAAGGGCAATGTTCTCATGACAGATGCCAACCAGGTTTGGTCTGTTCCTGAGGCAATTGAGTACATGAAGCAGCTCGCCGACTTCAAGCCTTGGTTCATCGAGGAGCCTACATCCCCCGATGATGTCCTCGGTCACAAGGCTGTTCGCGATGCCCTTAAGCCTTATGGCATTGGTGTCGCAACTGGTGAGATGTGCCAGAACCGTGTCATCTTCAAGCAACTCCTCCAGACCGGTGCCATCGATGTGTGTCAGATTGACGCCTGCCGTATGGGCGGTGTCAACGAGGTCCTTGCTGTCCTCCTCATGGCCAAGAAGTTTGGTGTGCCTATTGTTCCTCACTCCGGTGGTGTTGGCCTTCCCGAGTACACACAGCACCTGAGCACCATTGACTATGTCGTTGTCTCTGGAAAGCTGTCTGTTCTTGAGTACGTGGACCACCTCCACGAGCACTTCTTCCACCCTTCTGTTATCAAGGACGGTTACTACACCACTCCTGTGGAACCTGGCTACAGTGTCGAGATGAAGCCTGAGAGCATGGATCGATTTAGCTACCCTGGTGAGAAGGGTGTGAGTTGGTGGACTTCAGATGAGGCCAAGGTTATTCTCGATGGTGAGAAGATTTAATGACTGGTTGAAAACGGTTGGATAAAAGGGTCTGGTGTTGTGTATCTAAAATGCCTCCATAAGCGGAATATCATGAATTTATGAGTTATCAAATCTAAAGGGCCTCTCTGTGATTTTGACTAGTTATAGGCCTAGCTGTTGATTTATGAATTGTGTTATATGCCCGAGTTCTTCACGACAGTACCAATGCTCCATGACCGGATAAGTCTTCAACTCGACTTTTGCTCCCATGCGTTCCAGGCATTTGGCGGCACTTAGTCCGTGGCAATACTCAACATCCCCGTCTTTTTTACCATGTCCCACGAACACAGAAGTTTTCAGGAAAGGGAAAGATGTTGTTAGTGGTGTAGGATCAAGCTCTGCTTCTTCACGAAGCTCGTCGATTGCCCTTTGCAGTGGAGTTTTTGCTTCCTCTTCACTATCCCTTTCGAACAATCCGTCTTCTGAGGCATCGTGATCTGTCTCATCTGCCATTAAAGTCTCCGCCAAGGGCATGAAGCCACTCATTATAACCACTGCGCCCAGACTCTGGCCCTCCCAAAGCAACCAACTCATCAATGCCATTGCACCGCCTTGGCTGAAACCAATCAACACTACTTTTTCTGCATTCCCCTTCAACCTTTCTATCTCGTCTTTCAATAATTCATGGACATACTCAATGCTTGGTCGCATGTTCCCACGCGCCTCGGGCTCCCAGTCACCAGTTCCTTCATACCATTGGTGAATAAGTGAACGGCGATACTTGGTCGCCCGAGCAAGAGGCGCGGTTGGGAACACAAAGCGAGCATGCGGGAGTGATTGGCGAAACGATATTGATGGATCGGGAGACGGAGATGCAAGAAGTGGTGAGTGGAACTTCTGTGCGTTGAAGCCACGCCCGTGAAGGACGATGATTGTGAGTTTATGAGGTGAGATAAGAGGAGAAATGGTTACCAGTGGTGGAAACTTTCCTGGTCTGAGGCGAGACGAGTTTCTTGTAGCATGTTCTGCTGACATTTTTGTTGATGCTGATATTAATTGAGGTGCATACATGTAGTGCATACATGTAGTGTACAAGTGAGGTTGGTGATAATTGATGAATGTGTGGTGACCTATGAGAATTGCCAGAGCTTGCTAGTGAATGAGATGAGCTGAACACCACCAGACAATAAAGTTTTCATTTTTCATGCTTCAATACTAAATTTAAAGCATTTGATTTCTCAGTCAAACTAGTTCTCTGGTCTTCTCATACACATAAGCCATTCGTCGTGCTGTGTTGATCTCACCACTTCTAACTACAGGGTCTCATTAGCGAACGTGTCACTATATTCTACCCCACGCCCCTTCAGCTCAACCTCACATCACCAACTTCACACGCTCATTCAACCCTCCACTCAAAATGGGTTTCCTTAACCACGAAACAAACCCAATATCGTCTCTAACAGCTGCCTTCGCTGCCTGGAAGGGCCTTTTCCTGGCCATCGCTCTCGGTGCGTCTGTAGGCTCAGACTACGATACTTCAACCTCTCTCTTCTTCAACATTGTCCATGGCCCAACAACACCTGTTCCTGCTCTCGCTACTCGTCTGACGAGATGGGACGCGTTGTATTTTATGCACGATGCGGTGAAGGGCAAAGTGTATGAGCAGGAGTGGGCCTTTGGCATTGGGCTGCCAGCCGTTGTACGTGGCATTAACGTGTTATTTGGACTTGAGGAGGGCTGGGATGCCATTATTGCGATTGCCATCTCACACGTTTCTCATCTCATTGCTGTTCTGGCGCTGTACCAGCTCACTATTGTGCTATGCAATGATCGGAAACTTGCATACTTGGCTGCCGCCGTGCATATTCTTTCACCTGGCGGTCTCTTCCTTTCAGCACCGTATGCAGAGAGCACATTTGCATGCCTGTCCTTTGTGGGCAACCTTCTTTTTGCTTTGGGTCTGAAATCCAGCCCTGACTCAATGAGGCGCAATATTTCCGTCATTGGAGCAGGGTTTTTATATGGGGTTTCCTGCGTGTTTCGAAGCAACGGACTCTTTGGCGGCGTTCTCTTTGCGGTGGAAGCCATCAAAGGCCTCACAGCACTTCTTGGCGGGTTCAGTTTCTTCAAAGTCCTAAGACTAGCTGCACCTATTATTGGTGGGCTGTTCGTTGCAGTTGGTTTTGTTGCGCCTCAGATTCTGGCGTGGATGAGGTATTGCAATGTTCAGGATAATGAAGAACAACGCCCTTGGTGTACACGCCCCCTCCCAAGTATCTATACTTTCGTCCAAGAAGAATACTGGTATGTGCTCACAGACGAGTTAAGGAGCGAAAACTAACAAGAATAGGAACGTTGGCTTCCTTAGATATTGGACACCTAATCAGATCCCTCTCTTCCTCCTTGCAGCTCCTATGCTCACGATCCTCATCAAGTCTGGAAAAGAGGTTATGCAAGAACCTTCGCGAGGCCTTCGAGCCATGATTTCTGGCACAGATGAACAGTGCAGGATGCTCGTAAGAACTCTAGCTGCTGTGCAAACTCTTCTCGCCGTCTTGGCCATCACAAACTATCACGTCCAAATCATAAGTCGTATCTCATCCGCGTACCCCGTGTGGTACTGGTGGGTCGCTTCATGTCTCATGGATAAGCAGAGACAGGATTTGGGTTATGGTATAGTTGTGTTTATCAGCATGTATGCCATGATCCAAGGGGGTCTCTTTGCATCCTTTTTGCCGCCTGCCTAAGGCAGTGCTGTGTATACTTTCTGTTTTTGAGTTGAGCTGGTTTTTTCTAGAGCCTGATTCGGCGGTTGGGCAGCTCAATGGATTCGACATGGCAGTGAAATAAGGATAGAGTTGAAATTATGAAAGTTTTATACCATCACGCTTTCGTTCTCTCATGTTAATAAGAGGCACATGGTGCATGTCAAGGCAACAAAGGAGGTTGCTCTGTTGTTGGTAAATTTTAAATCTCTACATAAAGACATGCTATCGCATCTGACTTGTCTTTTCTCTTCAATCTTTCAAATATCTGTCAGTTCTCATATTCGTCACCCCCAGTTACGCTTACACACACTCGCTCCATCGACGTTTCTCTGCCCAACATGTCAGCGACAGGTAAGTTGATAATGATCATTATTTGAAGACACGTAAAGCCTGACCAGTAACCACCAGGACAACAGCCGAATCAACAACAAGAGCATCGATCCAACGGATCTTCCTCTACTTCAACTATTGTACTTGGGCTGCTCTCTCCCCCTCCGACCCCCCCTCCCTTGAATTCCGGTCTTCCACCTCCCCCATCTCGGCCTCCTGATACAACTCCTGACAACGGAACTGGAAACTGTATTGAAGTGTTGGTTGAGATCAAGGAGCCTGAGACCGAGGTGATTGAGTCTGAGGAGGTTGAGACCAAGGAGGTTGAGGAACAAGAACAGGACGATGACACAACCAAAACCATTTCTCCTGTAAGTTTTGACTGTGACTCACTTTTGCCACCCTCTTTTCTAACAAGTATGCGGCCCCCTGAAGCAACAGCCGACTTCAAATCTACTGTCAAGGCTATTTTTCTACGCTTAATAGCCCTTCCGGGTGACCTTCGGGCGGTTGATCAAAACCAAGCGAGTACAGCATGCCAACCTTCTTCTTGATGAAGCCTATTGCAGAGTCCCTAGAGATCATGGCAATAGGGTTGCACCCTTTTTTTTTTTTTAATTTATCATCCGTCATCAAGTCGTGATTAGGACTGGGCGAATGGGTCGCTCGGGGAAAGTTGGATAAGAAGCCCGCGTCTTCCATACAAGGAATATATCTTTTTGAGCGGCTTGAAGTATATATCTCGACTCATTTCTATGGGCAGAAGCATAATACACTCTTTTAATATATAATTCATGACAGAACGCGACCCAAATCGTGTTCTCACCAGTAAAGTCCCATATTACTTATATATAGCCATCGAGCTCGCAAATTAAAGCTTTTTCCAACCGAGACACTCCCGTTTCAAACAAATTCTTCGGTCCAACATCCGAGATGGCTCCAACCGTTATCAAATTCTAGTAAACAGGTTTTATTATTCATAGTCAAAGTAAATAGCCATAGCTACACAAAAAGAACGAGAGCTGCTCAAACAGCAAGGCCACTCAAAACTGAAAAATGGTACTTGTCTATTGAATAGTTGTCATGAGACTAAGACATGTCATGAATGCTAAGGTGGACTGTGTTATTGGGTCAATATGCAATTTCATGAAACGCTTGTATTATTACTTATATAGAAGAACTGTTCTGATCGCTGTAGACCCTGTTACCATCTACATGGAACCAACAACGACAACGCCTTTAAACACCCCGGAATGCACCGTGCTTGTATGTTAATTCACCCACTCGCTGACTCTACTCAAAAATGAAACCAAGGCCTCACGTACAAGCCCTTAGTACGCTTAAGGTGTCAAGCCCGATTATTCCTTGCGCTCGCGGTTTGGCATGTGGGACAACTTCAACACAAACACCTGGTTCCAAGCAGGCGACTCTGATTTTGACGATTTCAAAATCGTTCATAAAATAGATCGCTTAAGCCGTGTTGCGCCTTTCGTTGTTGTAAGGTCGCCGCTCCGGAGATGGCCTAGATCCGGAACTTCCAGAAGGTCCTCCGTTGCTGTCTTGACCTTCCTCCTCCTCTGTATCTTGTTCTGGGACAATTGGCAACGTAGTTCTCCTTTCTCTGCTCCCTGTAGAGCGTCTTGCGCGTCGAGGGTATATCCGAACTATGCGTCGCATAAAGAGGCGCTCATACTAAGACTCTTCTTCCTCCGAGTCACTGTTATCATTAATCCTGATAGCTCGCCATCTCCTATCGGTCAAGTCTTGTGCAGCAGTTCCTTCACTCTCTGGGTCGACATAGCCCTGACCGCCAGCGATGCTTAGCGCAACGGGCAAAAAGACTAAGGCGTGGAGGGCGGCGAATATGACCAGAGACAGCCAAACTCGGAAGTAATAGATCTCGAAGATCTTTGATCGCGTGAAGGCGAGTACAGAGACACCAAGAAGCTTTGTGACGGTGATGCCCGAAAAAACAGATCCTCCGACGTTAACAAGAGCAGTCCAAGCCCGGGCATCACGACCACGGAAGGCATTACTATTGCCTTCCATCACTGTGCGGGAAGGATACATGAACGCACGGGCGATATGAGCACAGAATTCAACAGAAATACCAACGCAAATGATGAGATTGACCAGAGAAACAGCATTCAGGGACACGTTGAACAGTGCCATGCTACCCATGATGTCCACAACGCTCATCACAACTGTGACAGAAACCACAGCTGCCGTGAGTAATGAACCCAAGAGTACGGTCGCAACAGCAAAGATTATGCCAACAGCGGCACACAACAATACAGCTGTCAACGGTACAATGCTAAGATATTGGTCAAAGAAGATGTAGAAGACGCTGTAGGGGAAAACATCCGCGCCTGTTCTTTCTTTGATATCAGAAGCGATGCGACGAGCTGCGGAGTATGCGGCAATAAAATCTTCCTGACTTCTCAAAGGAGTATGCATGGTTCTGAAGTGTGTGGACTTGACATGGTTGCCCTTATCATTAAGAACAACAGCCTGGCCATACGCGGCCTGCCCAGCGAGAGGGCATTCATCGCCGGTAGGGCTTGAAAGAAACTTCTTGAGATAATGAATGAACTCTTCATCCTCAGGCATGCCGTAGAGTGTAGTATTCCATGCTGGCTTGCGATCAGCAAAGCAGGTTTGGCCATGCTCCACACAGCATTGGTCATAAATGGGATTTAACCAGAGGAAGAAGTCGTCAATCCAACTGGCGGCGGGTGAAGAGATATAAGAAATATCTGATCTCTGTCGTTCAAGCTCAAGTGTGTTCGTGAGAGAAAGGTCCTGGCAAGTCGTGAATCTCGAGCAAATTTCTTGCTGCTGTTCTCGCTTGGAGGCATCAACTTCGCGGGTCACGAAATACACTGGGGGTCCAGTCTCCAGATACTCGTATAGGTCATTAAAGTAGGGGATCAGGTAAGAATCATCAGGGATAGCAACTCGCTGATCAAGGCCAAGTTGGATCTTTGGTAAAAGCGCCAGTCCACCTGCAAAGAGCCCAAGGAAAATTGCGACGACGGCAAGCTTGACCTTCTTCCCAAGAAGCCGTGGAGCATATGTGTTCTTGATGAAGACCTGCAGCAAGCTCTCTTCGGCCATGTCTGAGCCACGGCTACTTCCCTGAGAGAAACTGCTGGCACCATTAAGGTGGATTCTAGCCTTAGTGATCTGCCACCAGGGCCACAGTTCACAGCGATGGTCTTCAACCCGCATCTGGTTAAGGGAAAGGAAGGAGACGAACATGGTCATCTGAAGCACGGCGTTGACAAAGACAGCACCTGCAGCGTATGCAGCGAAGTTCCTAACAGCCGGCATGCCAACGGCAGTACCGAGAGCAAATGCGACGGTTTCTGTGAGAGCAGAAAAGAGAATGGAGGGTCCCATACGGCCCAGGGCTCTTGCAACTCGCTCCTCGACCATTTGGTCAGGAAAGCTGACATTGACTCTCTCGAGTTCATGGACAATCAGGAAAATATTGTCCACACCAACAGCCAGAACAATAAAGGGAATGACTTCAACGATGATGAGTGTAGCTTTTAGACCAACCCATGAGAAGAACCCAATAGAAGCAGCAATCGACATGAGTACAATAAGAATTCCAACGAGGCCAAGCGTTACCTTGGACTCAACCAAGAGCACAGCAGGATTGCGGAAGATATGCTTGAGGGGGGTTCCAAGCGCCATGCAAGCGTAAATAAACATAACGATGTAACTGATGACGATAATCTTTGCGTCTGTGTTGGTCGACTTGTTAAGTTCCTGCTCGAGACTAATCTCAGTATTAAAGGACAAGCGAAGGCCACGCTCCTTGGCTTCTTGTTGAACCTCGAGGAGTCGGTCGCGGAGGGAGTTTTCCCAATCAACAGCCCTTGCAAGGGCATCGGTTCCCTCTTGAGCATTGTTAACAACCCAGGTCACAGTGATAGCATGGGCGTCAACCACATCGCCGTCGTAACCACCAAAGATCATGTTGGGTTCGATGGGTTGTCCAAAGTCTGGTCGACAATCCACGGGGCTCTTGGCGCATGCGCGGAGGTCCTCTTTCCAATACTTGGGGTCAAATCCACCCTTGGCGTGCCAATAAGCTGAAACAGACTGCACGACACAGGCATCGTTGGAGGGTTTGAAGCAGAGATCCTGGAAGTATTTTCCATAGACAGGGCTCTCGATCTTCTTGACGCTCTCCTCAACTTCAATCCACCATTTCAGGGTATCGTAAGTTAGAACAGGTCCTGGCCCAGAAGGATCTGTATCGTTCACAAGAAAGACCTTCTCGGCACGGTAGAAGGGTCCAAAGTTGCTGTCGAAGTAGGCCTTCTCTTGTGCAGCAGCAGAAGAGGGGCTCACCCAAAGGCGGGCAGGTTCGTTCTCAAGGTCAAAACGGAACAATCCAACACTGAGGATGGCAACGAAGAGCAGGCTTAGACCAATGCACCACCCAGGGAATCGAGCTGCAATGTGACCGAGCTGATAGAAAGCCTTGTCGCACTTATCGTTGACCCAATACCTCTTAGTTGGGCGCTCACGCATCGCCTCCGTGTCAACTGGACCGCCTTCGTCTTCATCATCGCTATGCGAAGATTCATGCAACAGTCTTGTCCTTTCAACACGATGCTGAGAATACTTTTTGTATGCGATGTGGCCAAAGACAGCGAGAATCAGAGTCAACAGCAAAACGCTATACACGAAGATAGAAGCAAATGAGAGGCAAGGCAAAAGACCGACTCTGCAAGACTTTGAGTCTTTGACGTCTGGGAGCTTCGGGCAGACACCGGGGCAGTCGACACATACGCAGCGGTAGTCGGGGTCCTCATCATCGCATTTCTTCGGTGTCATGTCCAATGGGTGGAGGTCGTGGTCGCTGTAACCAGTCGGAAAATTGATCTGGAAAGGAGAACCGACCAGAGGTTTCTTGTCTCCAAGGAACTTCAACATCTCGGTATAGTTCTTAGCGCCACCACCAATCAAATCCATCGCCTTGCTGTTTGCGCCGCCAAACTTGACTTCCTTGCAACTGTCATAGAAACCAGAACCATATTTCTCTGAAATGAGCTGGTCGAGTTCTGTTACGAGCTGCTTGCCATTCTTGGGGGCAGAATCGGTCACATTGATAAAAAGAGACTGGTCCGGAGAACATGTGAATGTACAAAAGAGGTTGAAGAAGTTGTCTTTGCAAGCTGGACAAGACCCAATGAGTGTACTTGGTGTACCAAGTTCGGACTTGAGTGCTTTGACCTATTTATCGCAAATCAGCAGGTAGCATGGAGGTTCGTGGGATATGCTCACTTGATCCAGGCTACAGCAAACAGGTCCGGTCTTCCATTTCTGGCCGCAAAGTTCGACGAGTTCGTTACGAAGCTCTTGGTCGGGATCTTCAGCCAAACCATTGTCGACACAGGGAAGTTCTTTGCCGAAAAAGCTCTGCTTTCCACAGTGGCCGCGGAAGGCGCATCTTCCAGCTTCATGTTTCGGAGTATACTGCTCAGCAAAGCCGAGGCCAGCAAGAAGAGCAGCCACAGCTCCTAGCTGAGGCACGATGCGTTGATGCATCTCGAAGTTAGGGAGCCGCACGCGGCGGGTGTTATATATGAAGTCGTTTGCCTACTTGGTAGCGATCGAAGTTTCGTGTGGATATCGCTCTCAAGTTGACGTACGACAGGTACGGTACGACGATAAGTGTGGGATGATGATGAAGGTTAAGATGTTCGAGAAGCAATCATAATAGATTGTAGAATTGAAGTTTAGAAATTGAACAACGTGACGCAAGTGGAGGTGAAACCCTAAAGGCGACGCGTCGACAAAGTAGGCGCAACCGAAACGGTTGTAGGTTCAGACTTGGAGGCAGATGGTGATGTCGTAGCGCAGTAGCAGCAGCCGTAACCGTAGTAGGTAGCTCGGTGACGGCTACAATGGAAAGCTTGAATGGGGCCTAGATGGCGGGCGCTGCAGAGGTCACGGACCTGCGTCATTGGTTTCTGTGGGTCCGGTCTGCGTCTAATTCGCCAGCGTGATTAATTGAGTGGTCCTTGTGGTCTAAGAGGCTGGGGTTAGAAGCCGGGGTTGACTAGCTACAGTCAATGATTCATTCAGAGTTTACCTACCCTAGAGATAAATATGTGAATTTGATACATTTAATTGGTCTTTCGCGTAACGTAGAGGTAGCAGTGATTGAAATCATGGTCGGTAAGATTTATCTTCTAAGCGCGGTCCTTAAGTCTATTCATAGGTGCAAGATTTATAAAGGTGTCCCAGCCAGTCCAAGAGTCGTATTCATGTATCTGAATATACAAATATCACATATCAGCAGAAGGCAAAGATGCTAGACTCTTTACTTAGATACCAAACATTATATGTATCTAAGGGAGCATCCTATATAATGCAATCTCGATCCTAAGCCTACTCACTGTCATATAAACTCAAAAGAATATATAGGTACTATACTTAGGTAACACTAATTGCTCCGAACCCAAGGGTTCAACTCAGATAAACATTAACGCAGTAGTACAGAAAATCACCATAAATTAAGAGCTTGCTAGCCAGATAAATAACTTCCATTAATATCGTCTAAGCCTGATCACAAAGCAGCCGAGTTGGTCCTACTATAGTCCCATAAGATATGAACTATGGGACATTCTCGCTCAGGCATCCCCAATTTTCCACCAGCACAGGCCCGTGTAAAGTTAATCAACGTACCCAAAGGTAATTTCGGTCGTGAATGCCCTCAATAAACCCAAAGGCTTTAGTCTTGCACTACCCATCAAATGCATTGTATTTATAACTTTGCAAGCCAAGGTCTCGTTATCATGGCACGTGATACGTTTAGCAACTTCAACTATCTCCACCTTCGCTGAAGAGCCCTGAAAACACCATGACTCTTTCAATCTTTCTGTGCGTCATTCCGCCTTTCAATTTCGCAACGTCATTTATAAAGCACGGGAAGTTTCTGAAGACTTAGCGACATAGTTTTTCTTATTACCTGTAAGATCTTATAAAGTACCATGCTTTATTCTGGAACCAGCCACAACCGATATCACAACACTATCCCTCCCCCAAGATGCCAGAAACCTCAGAAGAGCTTGTGCAAAAGCTGGTGGTATGTTCATTTATTATTGTTATAATGGCTTCAGCGCGTATATATCTAGTTGCCGAGTCATAGAAGCGAACTTTGGAACCAGTATGGCACCAAGACATCGTGAGAATGACTATGAGATATAATATCGTGTTCATGCACTGTCATAGATAAGAGACTTGATACTCACATATGATGTTGCAGGAAAAATTCAGGTCGCTCCTGGACGAAGCCCTCGTAGTTGCCATCGCCAGCGACCATGATCTCACAGAAGCTTCTCAGTACAAGTCAGCTCAGATTGTCTTAGAAGACCTTGCCCAGCATGTCACAACAGAAGAAGCAACTGGATTCAACCCAAGTGGCATCTCGAATATACCTGAAGATGTGAATGGCGATGAGAGTACAGCTGAGACGAGCAGCCAACAGGCCTCTCGTGCTCACGACACAGATACCACATCCGCCAGCGATCAAACTGCATCGACAGCAAACACAACTTACTCCATACCCAGACTTACTTCATTTGATGATGATAGCGAGGAGAATAAAGCCCTTCTCCTCCAAAGCATGTTTAGTGAGCTCAAGGAATTTGACATCAAACACTCACTGAAAAAGGCAAATGGTGATGTACAAACTGCGCTCGATGACCTACTCAACATCCAGTATCTTAAATCAACAGGGCAAGAGCAGAAGGGCATTGACGGCTTCTTTGAGCCTGACGAAGCCGCCGGGAAGAAGAAGAAAAGGAACAAGAAGAAGGGCAAAAAGGCTTTCGGAAGCGAAACACCATCACCCAGCAGTGGGAATGCCTCTCCATCCCCCGATGATCTAAAAGAGTTGAAGCGTATGTTTGAACCGATCATTCACCAGAATGTGATAGCTGACTGTCTGACTTAGGCCAGGACGAGATCGCATATCTAGCAGACAGGCTGGACTTACCCTTTGGAGTAGTCTCCGATATCTACCACAACAAACGCTGTGCGAGTGGTGCCGCTGCAGTTGAGATCTTGCATCGATACATGTCGCAGGGCATCGAAACCCAGGATAAGGAGGCAAAGAAATATGCACAGGAACTCGCCCAAAAATACCAGAATGTCCCAGAGAAGTTTATGTCGACAATCGTTCAGGTTACGGGCTCCACATCGCAAGAATCAGACGACATTGCGGCGCTTGTTAGCAAACATTTCGTCAAGAATCCCTGGACACAGAAGCTTGAGGTCAGTTATCAACTGACGCCACTACCTGTAGAGGATATCGAAGGATTCGAGACCGTCACACGAGGAAAATCTAAGCTAGCCCGGCCGGCATCAGGAAGCACGAGCTTTCCCGTCGGCTCGTTAGCGTACGCGCAAGCTGCTGAGAGAGCCAGCCAATACAATCGAGCCAAACGTGAAGCAGCCGCTTCGGCAGCATCCTTAAATCGACGCGGTGCCTCTAATCCACTCTATCGACAGGCAGCAGGTTATTATTCTGAAAGGGCACGAGAGCAGGCTCGATATGAAATGCATGCTACGTCAACGGCGGCAAATCTACTCGTTGATAAGCAAAGCACATCAACTTCGATTGACTTACACGGCGTTAACGTGCAGTCTGGCGTGAGCATTGCTCGCGAGAGAGTCCAGTCCTGGTGGGCTGGCCTGGGAGAGTTTCGGTCTGATAAGGCTCGACAGCAGCCGTTTACTGTCATAACTGGACTCGGCCGCCATAGTGCTGGCGGTGTGTCACAGCTGAGACAAGCCGTAGCTGGAGCTCTCCTCCAAGACGGGTGGAAGATGCAGATTGAGACTGGACGCTTTCTCATCAAGGGTAGGCGATAAACGCCAAGATAAAAAATGCCTTGCGGTGGCTATCTCAACTATATCTTGGAAATATTCCGCATTGATCCAGATTAACCAGATCGGCAATTCTCACGACAGTTCATTGCTCAAAAGGCCAGATGCTGTGACACTTGCCTCAAGTTTTGGTCTTTTTGATGCCATGTTGGAGTTCTGGACCCCAAATTCAAGCAAAGGCTTACGCAACCTCTGATCCACAAATGAGCCCGAAACAGTCATGACAACCAACTGCATGTTTTCTGCGTATGCCCTGGCGAATAGACGAGCGGAAATAGTAACTTTAGTGCAGCCATCACCATGGAAACTCGGCCCATGCAGCTTTAAGGCTGTGCTAGGCACACACGAAACACGATCCTTCGCTCCATGCGCTAAACCTTTGCAAAAGACCAGAGCAAACGCGGCGGTTTCCTAGATAGGATATGGTTTCACTTTTATTTTGTCATATCATGCCCCGGTGGGTGCCATCACGGTGTCCTTGTATAAATACTGAGCAGTCCGCCATGAGATACCAGTATCACAACTTACAAGGCTGAATCAAAATCACAGACCACTCCCTCATCGACACTTCAGTATGGCGGCCAAGAACCAGTCAGGACAGCCTTCTTATGAGCCTCTTCCCAGAGGGGACCCCGCAGCTGCGCTGCTGTCACCATCCGAGCGGGAGGATAGAGACGATGGGAAGACGCCCGTATTCAGACTCTCTTTCTCACCTATTCTGTTGCTACGATTGATGATTGTCCCTATCGTTATCACCGATTTAGTTTTTATCTGCATGCCCCGGAGCTCCCCAGGATCAACAGCCGCATTCGCAATGGGTGGAATTTTCTTGGTTATGTGGCATGCGTCCCGCGTCTTCAAGAGCCTCCTCCCCGGCAGGAAGAGCAACAAGTTCGACCTCAAGATCGGAAACTTTTTCTGCACCATTGGCACGACTTCGCTCGCATCACACACAAGCCGTGGAGCGTGGACTTATCTTGTCAGCGCTATCGACTTTTCTTTTGGTCTTTTCTTCATCGGACCCAGTGTCCTGTCCTTCACTGCATATAACTGGTATTATGAAGACAATGTTTCGGGTCTGAGTCTTACTGTTGTGTAAGTATCCGACGGATGGTTTCGGTCATTCAAGTTATGCTAATATTGTATTACAGGATCATGCAGTCGGCCATCGCTGTTCTCAACCTGATCAGTCTTTTCCGCAAGATGAAGATCGTTGTCTACAGGGGCGAGGACGATGAGGACTACCTGTATTCGATCCCTGACCTCGATGTCTTCCGAGACGAAGTTTCTGAGCCCCGCGACTCGATGGCCTCTGAGGTCTAGAGGACCAAATCGGAACTTTGCTAAAGGAACCCAGTACCTGTCCTCTATCCCTTTCATTCAACGGTAGCACCTACCACAAAGACTGAGGCTAGGAGGACCATGGATTAGCCCGTGACGATAATGTTCTGAGAACAATATCCAGCTGAAAAGCGCATATGATGTAGTCTGAGTGAACTGTATTTTGCTGTCGTAGTGACAGACGGTATAGATAGCTTTCATATAGCACAATGTGAGATACGAATTGAAATTGCCGTACACCTTCATCTTCTACTGCTTCTGTCGTTGAAGATTCTGTCCAACCCTCTCCCATACAGCCTGACCTGTAGTAAAAGTGGTGATAAACATGGCCAAACTCACCAAGCCGGGCTCAAGCTTGACCCAGCCGACTGTTGTGGTAGGAAGAAGCATATCGAGGAGATCAGAAACGAGAGCACGGAGGAGAACGTAGCTTTCACTCTTAAACTTCTTGATCCAAGCACGTCTCTCGGTTTTGCGTTTATTGACGATGCTCTTGAGACGCTCACGCTCCTTGTCGAGATCGTCCTTGGTCATTTTTTCAGAGAGAACGGCAGTCTCTTTTTCTGCAGTGATAAGTTCAGCTGGCTTCTCAGTAGAGCTGATGCTGACAGTCTCGCGCTTGACAGAGGCAGGAGTACCAGCGACTAGTCGATACAGTCTGATAACCGTGACAAGAACGGAGGTGTACAATCCAGCAAACCAGAAAAGTTGCGACTGGTAATCAATCTCCTGGAACTTCTCAGCACTAAAGACACGGAGGTTCTCGATGCCGCAGAGATCGAGGAGGGTCAAAGTCTCCATCATGCCGAACATGCCGAAACAAGTCTTGCTAATGATATCAAGCCACATATCAATGCTCTTGTCACCCTGGGCGACGTAGACAAGCCATCCTGCGCGGAAAGTGTCCAAAAAGCGGAAGAACCGAATGAAACGTCGGGAGACGTTGATCTGGCCACCTAGAGTGCGGAGAGATAATGGTGATGGCACCTTAGGCTGGACAAGGGCAAATAGAGCCGGATACCAGACTAGAAGAGAGCATATCGCTTGAAAACCACGGAGAATTCGCTCGATGCCGACTGAAAATAGTTAGTGAGTGCGTCTTGTGAGGATTTGTGAGAGAAATACCAAGATCGGTGCCAAAAGCAACGAAATGCTCATATGTTCCCACCATAACTGCGAGTCTACCGAGACAGAGGTGTAAGAGACAAAGTGAAAGAACTCGAGATTTATGCCACGAATTTATATACGTCTAATGCAAGTGAACAGAAAATTACAAATCATTGACCCCTGGTGGTTAGGTTGTTTGTTGAATAGGCGGTGTTGATGGGGCCAGCCAGTAGTTCAATGTTAGTGGATCCTCACATCCACGTATATAAATACGGCAATTTGTAGCGACTTGATATGAGTGCATGATACAATATTCTCATACGCAATTTAGGCTGCTTGTTTTTCATATGAAGAGGAGCCACGCTGGCAAACATAGTTTACTTTACCAACTCTTACTCCCATTGAACAATAAGTAAATATAACACATGGCATCTACCTAATAGTTGTAGTTATGCACAGGTACGATGCAAGACACGTCAAGCTTAATTCCTTCCTCTCTCCATACCCTTTTCTACTCTAGATACCAATTATTGACCGGGAGACACCAACTTGCCTTGGGCTCTGGCATTATGGTTCCATCCACCAGCAAGGGCCTCACCACCATGCTCCTGAGAGAACTTCTGGATACGAGCCTCAAGCTCGGGTCGGAAGTGTCGGATAAGACCCTGAATCGGCCAGGCGAAGGCCTCTCCCAGAGCTAAGCACCATTAGTACGACGTTTTAGACGGATGGTTGATATGAGAACTTACCGCAAATAGTGTGACCCTCAACCTGCTTGGTGAGCTCCTGGAGCATGTCAATCTCACGCTCACGAGCCTGACCATTCTCAAATCGCTTCATCATCTGCTCTGTCCACTTGCTACCCTCTCGGCAAGGTGTGCACTGGCCGCAACTCTCGTGACGGTAGAAGTGGCTGAGACGGCTGATAGCTCGGACAATATCGGTGCTCTTATCCATAACGATAACAGCAGCAGTGCCAAGACCAGACTGGCTGTCCTTGAGGGCATCAAAGTCCATCAGTTGGTCATCGCAGACGTGCTTGGGGAGAACAGGAGTAGAAGAACCACCAGGGATGACAGCCAAAAGGTTATCCCATCCACCTCGAACACCACCACAGTGCTTGTCAATGAGCTCACGCAGAGGAATGGACATCTCCTCCTCGACAGTGCAGGGGTTGTTGACATGGCCAGAGATACAGAACAACTTGGTGCCTTGGTTACGCTCACGGCCGAAGCCAGCAAACCAGCTTCCTCCTCGTCGGCAGATAGTAGGGGCAACGGCAACAGTTTCGACATTGGTAACAGTTGAAGGGCATCCGAAAAGACCGACGGCAGCAGGGAACGGAGGCTTAAGACGAGGCTTTCCAGGCTTGCCCTCTAGAGACTCAATAAGTGAAGTCTCCTCACCACAGACGTAGGCACCAGCACCTCGGTGCAGGTAAACATCGAAGTCGTAGCCGGAGTCACAGGCGTTCTTTCCGATCAGGCCGGCGGCGTAGGCCTCGTTGATGGCTCGCTGGAGAACGGCAGCCTCCTCGACAAATTCACCACGGATGTAGATATAGGCGGCGGTTGCGTTCATGGCTCGGCCAGAAATAAGGCATCCTTCGATGAGCTTGTGTGGGTCCTTTCGCATAATCTCACGATCCTTGCAGGTTCCGGGCTCACCCTCATCGGCATTGACGACAAGGTAACGGGGCTTGGTGTCCTTGTCCCAGTCCTTGAAGTTCATGAAAGACTGCAGAGCGTTCGGTTAGACAATTGATACTGGTTTGGCCTCCTGGCCCGTGAAACCAATCTTGGAGAAACCTACCCATTTGAGACCCGAGGGGAAACCAGCACCACCTCGTCCTCGAAGACCGGAGGCCTTGACCTCGCTGATGATCCAATCGTGTCCCTTGAGGATAATCTCCTTGGTCTTGTGCCAATCGCCCATCTTCCTAGCACTCTTGAGGTCCACGGGATATCGGTTATAGAGGTTCTGGAAAATGCGATCCTGGTCTCGTAGACCACCGTATGTTCGCTTCGGGGCGCCGTCCTGGACAGTAGCCAGACCCCTCACGGCGGTCCGTGAGAGGCCGACGGCCTTCTTGGGCGCCGTTCTCGTGGACAGCATTGTGCTCGATCGTTGTCGGGTGGCGGTTTGGAGATGGTTGAACGACAAGTTGCGGCACTTCAAGTTTCCCGAGCGAGATCCATTTCGTGACCAGGCAGTTCAGAAATAGCGGGCTAGTGATTGGCCAATCCATTACGCGATTATTCAGCCACTCCAGTTAGCCAGGACTTTACTCCACACCAATTCTCACATACTAGCACAAGTTCTTCATATCATTTCTGTTAAGCGCATCGATTGCCTTTCGCCCCCGATTTGCCTCCAACCGATATCCTGGAGTCATAGATCCTGGTAGCGTTGCATCACGTAAGCAGTCAAGGAAGGGTTTCTATTCGACGGACTCGACCTGCGGTGTCGCAACACCAACTCGAGTATCGTGGGCTTTGTATATACAAGCTTCACCTCGGCTTCTTCCGTCGTGTTGA